TGCACATTATATTAAGGTATCACATCAGAGCATGCACATTATATCAAGGTATCACATCAGAGCATGCACATTATATCAAGGTACACTGAAAAAAAAACTACTTAGATCCAAGAAAATATTTTTTCACATAGTACCAATAGCTTATTTACTTAATATAATCACATATTTATTTAGAATTAGATATTTTTACTTAATTTAAATAAATTATTATTTTTACTTAATTTATGTATATTATTTTTACTTAATTTAAGTAAAGATATCTAATTCGCTAAATAAATATGTGATTATATTAAGTAAATAAGCCATTGGTACTATGTGAAAAAATATTTTCTTGGATCTAAGTATTTTTTTTTTTTTTCAGTGTATCACATCAGAGCACGCACATTATATCAAGGTATCACATCACAGCATGCACATTATATCTATGATTCACGCTGACGAATTATTGAGTATTTTAATTAATCTCGTTGATTGATTTTACAACCATGAAACAAATATGACAATGTTTTGGACAGATATTAAATAAAATGTCAATGAAAATAATTACAGTGAAAGTATCATCCAGTTGAGTAATGACAATCGTTTGATAAGTTATAATAAGGTATAACTAAAAGAACTCGACAGTTTTAATGAACGTCAGTTACATTGAAGAGAACGTCTTGTTCTCGCAGAATCTTTATATATCGAAGTTATGCGCATAACTCGTGGCTCGAATCGTTGATTGAGTGATGTTTCTAGTAAGAAGTAAAAGTGAAAGGAATTAAAATAACTTTATTTTACGGAAGATATTCCTTTAGACAGAAGATTGATAGCACATTATACTGATAGCAAAATGCACATTGTTTGAGTGACAAATTATATTGATATAAAATTGATTGATGTGAAACCTTTGTGTACAAACATCCTTTACGTAAATAACATAAAATGATTTCCTACTTGAAACATGATAATATCTTAAGTATCAAGTAATCGATACTTATAATGTCAGTTGATAAAGAACAAAATAGATAACATCTTTTGGAAGTGCAGTGAGAAATTAAATATTAAATTAAATTAAATACCAGTATAGTAATTATTGCACAATTATTAAGAAAAAAAGAAATGCGTCGCGAGATGATAAGAGTTTCAATTAATGTTACATTTTTGGAAAATTGTGTCTTATTTATCTTGAAAATAATATTAATAATAATAGACTTATGAAATTGAAAATATTGCTAAAATTGATGTACATCAGCTTATCTATTTATATATTAGCATCTATTTAGCATATTGTTTAAATTTATCAAGTATTTATCTTTTTCTACGCCGTGATTGTTTAACGTTCGTTGGCTATCATGTCAGCCATTATCATGATTGTCCTGGAGAAGAATAATGAGATGAAAAATTCTTTTTTGTCGGCCTGTGTTATTAGAAACTAATGTTGATGTGATCAAGCCATAATACTGCTTGTGTTGGAAGTCTGCAGTCGTGTGCATTGTCTTGTGCAATCATGTACTGTCTCATCTGCGATAATGCGATAAGATTTCATTTGTTGTGCTCTCATATCAACGAATACGATGTCTCATTTAGCATAATTGTAAATAAATTCTACGTTCTTAGCAAGAATTGATTCACAATTCTTTTTGCATTAGCGTCAGTGTCAAGCGTCCAGCCTTTTTCTATCACTAAATTTATTTTTACTAAGATAATGGATTTTATGGGGCAATTTAATAGATTAACATTATCAGATTTATTACGTTGTTGTGACGCGTAATCTGTTTTTCTATCTTATATATATATCGGTCATTTTAAAAACTCTCTAAATCCAATTTTTATAAATACTTTTTTGAGAGAGACAACGAGGAACCTCAGTGACTTATATAAAACAAAAATTTAAAAAAAAAAACTTTTTATATTAAAATTGAATAAAACTTTTATTCTGAAAAGTTAATAATAAAACTTCTTTCATTATGAAAATTTAATGAAACTTCTTTTGTTCTGAAAAATGTGTTCTATCAGTTATTTTAGAATTGTAGAAGTGTAACTTTTTTAATGCATTTGAAATGAAATTACTACAGGAGATTTGATTACGAAGAGTCCCCAATAACATTCAAATCTGACTATTTATGTGTAAATAAAACATTCTATTTTTATTACTTTATTAACGGTCAGTAATTTATTATATATATTTTTTCTCTTTTTTTCGCAGATTTTTTTTTATCTTGAAATTCAAAACAACTTTAAAACCTAATGTAATGAGCAATTTGGACAGCGGCACTGTATTTTGTGACCGAAAATCTATAAGAAACACCGACTTTGATTATTAGAGTTACTTGCCAAAAAAGTAATTTTTTTTCGGCTTACGTAATTATAAGTAAAACTTTTTTCCTTCATATTCTCTTTATATTAATGGCAAGGAATTATCATAATAGAGGAAGAAAAAAACGAATATAATGTTCTGTTTAAGTAAAGAAAAGAATATGGAATAAAAAAATTAAAACTTCAAAGTCATAGCTCGAGAGAATGATTTGTATTAAATAATGCGATTCATAAAACGTTGATATGGAAAAAGGATATCATCACATCTTATAAGTCATCATATCTTTTATGATGGAAATATGCCAAAAACTTGTAGATTACCAAAATTGTCGCATATTTTTAACGTAAATTATGAGTGGGATTCAATATGAATGCATGCAAACGAAGTACTGAAAATGACATAAATCTCTAAACCGCAAAGAATAATTTTAGAAGGAAGCGAAGAACAAAAATTTGAGAAATTCTACAATTTCAATTAATAATTTGCTCCAACAGCATTACCGCAATTTTTTGTGTAAAACAATCACTTGTGTTTATGCCTAAGAGCAACTGAGAAGCATTCCTCGTTGTAAGTATAAAATAGGGGAAGAAAAAAAAGAAGGATTAGGATATTAAAAAAAGAAGGATATTAAAAACAAAATAAAGTTTTTAATAAAAAAGAAAAGCGTCGAACAGAAAAATAAAAACTTGAAAATCATTGTTCGAGAGAATGATTTGTAAGTATAACGTGACTCATAAAATCAAGTTAGCTACCTGAGCATCAAGTTAGTTCGGTTACAAGATTTATTCTATAAGAAGCTTATAGAAGATTTACAGATCGGTGCGCAGTTGCACATGGTAAACAACATATTACGTAATTCTACACTTAATTAACATATACATGTACATGTAAGTATATACGCCATATATTATACAGAAACGACAAGATTGGGTTCGATCAAATTATAGCGTAGATTAACTTGTTATATAACGAAAGTAGATTTGGTCCTCATCGTCAGGGACGAGCTCGAATAAATTTTTCGTAATTTTGGAGGGAGATGGAACAAAGTGTATAATAGCGGACCCATTCCCTTTCTGAATATAGTCAAATCGCTCGAGATTAGTTTCCCCAAATAGAGTCATAGACGTCGTAATATGATACATATATCTATCACCGGACTCGTTTCCAGTAGAATGAACTTTCGGAGTCAGCTTCGGAATTTAACGCACAAAAGCGTTCGTGACGCGGATCCGCGAGCGAAATATCGATGTTACGGATAGTACCGCGACACTCCGTTTCAGACACCATCGAGAAGGACGGAAAGCGGGTCAAGCCCTCGCGATGAAAACAGCAAATTTCGTCATTATTGATCAAATGGATATTCGCGGCGGGTATCGTGCGAAGCCTCCAATTTTTTTTTTATTTCACGCGAGGCGCTCGCGCGTTTTCCACCGCCTCCTGAAATGATGCAAAGCGAGCGAGGCCGCTCCCACGCGGTACATAAGCCTAAGCCTCCGCTCTTTCTGGGAAATGCAACCGGAAATGTGCGCGATAACGCTTCTCCGCGGAAAGTTCGCGCTTTTAATTCTACTCTCTCGAGTCCTTTGAGAGTCGCGCTCTGTACCCTCGAGTAGGACCGAGAAGAAATCCTCGCCTCGTCGAGTCAGGGGGGAAAGAGAGAGAGAGCGAGCGAGCGAGCTCTCGCGTGGAAAGCTCCGGCTCCTCGTCACGGTGTCACAGCTCCCGTTTGCGTGCTCAATGAAGCGCGAGAACAGGAATATTGAGCCCCCCCGCGCCGCGACGAGAAGCGCGAGGCCTCAAAATGGCTCGCTCGCGCGCCGCGCCGGGGTCGGGATTTCCAGGTCACGGCGGAAGTCATTTAGGAGATCATCCGCGCGATGGGTTTTTTTCCCCCCTCGCCGTGAGAGACGGGGGAGGGAGATGGAGCGTGCTTTTCGACGTCGTCGGTCGTCGCGCGCTTCAAACTCGGACGCGCTCCTCTCTCGCGCGTACGTACGTCCTCGCGCGACTTCCTTCCCAGCTCCGTTCGTCCTCGTTCGTGAACGAGAGAGGAGCCGCGTTCTCGAGTGGGAGAGACCGGGGATTCCGGGGGAGGGGGGGAGGGAATGCTGTCCTCGAGCGCGACTAACAGGAATCCCGTGACTTCCCCGAGGCGCGAGATCGCGTAATTGTCCTACCTTTGCACAGCCGCTGCACGTCCATCTCGTCTCGCACACACACGGCGCGGCGGTGCGTCAAACAACTGGAAAACTACGCGCTGGCGCTGCTTCTCGGCGGGCACGGGGCACGGGGGCACGGGGGCACGCGGGCAGGCGCGACGCGACGCGACGACCGCGACGTGTGCAGCGGATAGTCGATAGGCAACGACGCCGGTGAACGACGGCGACGGCGATGACGCGAGCGGCGGCGCCGCGCGCCGCGCGACTCTCTCACCTTCTCGGGCGGCGTCGACGCCGAGAATGTGCAGCGTGTCCTGGTGGTACGGATGCGCCGAAGCGATCGATCAAACCTCTTGAAATTTATTATATCTTGCGTTATCTCGACAATTACATATTTTCGCGCTTCTCGTATATTATATTTTTACAAATAAAACGTATACTATATAAAGGCTGCGTTCTTTTTGATGCTTTCCGATCAGCGCTGTAAGCATTATTCTATCTCCGTTGCACATTGAATATCAAATAAAGATGGAGCGACGCTTTCAACGCTGAAAGCGTCAAAAGGAACGCAGCCAAAGTCTATTTAATTCGTAAAATGTTCGACTTGATGGCTTCATGCTCAAGTAAAAAAATCATCTCCGTTAATTTTCCTTTTAATTAGACCGCCACGCTTGACGGTGCAAAAGTAGTACGAACATAGGTGTTTTAAGCCCTAAGCCCTAAAAAATTGACCGATCACAGTCAAATTTAATTATGATTGAACAATTTCTTAAGGCTTAGGGCTTAAATCACCTATTGCAGATTGGGACTAAAAAAAAAGAAATAAAACTAGCGAGGATTGTTCATGACTGAAAAATCCGCACATTCAGGAAAAGATAACGGAGCAATTAGAATATAAGGTCCTCCTATATCTTTATGTTTCGGCTCTGCGGATTCTTACGAATCATTTAGCGTCTTCATTCTCGAGAAAGCTGAGAATATCATTCGAGTGATGAGATAAAAACATTAAAAAACGAAATCAGCAAATTTCGAGATGTTGAAATAATTAAATTTCAAGGAGTTTCCGACTCGCCGCCGAAACTATCGTCCTTATCGTCAGAGGCTAAACAGTCCCTATTTTATCCACCGTCGAATCACTTTGCGATTCCTTTCCCCACGGAAAGATGGCGGCACCTTCGCGGCGCGCGCGGCGCTGTCACTTCCGGCCGTGGGAATCTGGGGGAACATGGCACGACGACGATGATGTCGGGTCGGTCTCGTCGCGGTTTCGCCACGTAGAATTTCGGCGCTCGGTGTATCGAGACATATCCGCCGACCGTTCCTCGCCGTGGTATGCGCGTGGTCTGACGTGCCGTCATTCGCAGCGCCGTGGGACCGGCGCGATCGGCGACGGAGCGACCCTAATTATGAGCGGCGACGCGTTACCGTCCTGACAGTTCGCGCGACGCCAAACAGAAGGTACGTAAAGGGCCCCCGGTGTGACCCGTGTGTCTCCTCCGTTTCCTAACCCGATGCACGTGTTCGCGAGCACGTCCGCCGATCCGGTGGACGTCCTCTCCCCGTCGCGAGGAACGCGCGACTCCCTCACGTGCGTCTCCCCCGCGTGGATTACGTCACTTGGCTGCTACGTGTTCGACGAAGCTCGATACCTACGTCCGTTCCGAACGGTTTTACGCTACATACACGCATGTATTTCCGATCCGTGAGGAGATTTCGAGCCGCTAAGCGCCCACGTGTCGCGATTTCGTCTCGAAATCTGCGATTTAAGTACTTGCGTTTATTTTGGCCAATGTCAACAGCTCCGCTAATTGTAAATCTCTGTTCCGCGACTTGCGATGACGATCTGAAGATTTAGTCTTGTTCCCCAGGATGCGCTAAATAAATTGACGAAATTGATATGTACATCTTTATAAATATGTTTACGTTAAACTGCTGTTTTGTGATGTCTTTTCTCTTTGTCCTTGATACGTGTCCCATAGAGATCGGATTGGCTTTACTTCAGGAAATTTGAAGAGACTGGTTTATCAAAACATCCTGGTCACTTAACTCCTTTTTGTGTTTGTATCTGTCTTCCCTCTGTCTGTTTTAAATATAGAGATTATTAACGTATAGCTATTATTGAAAGTTGAAAGTAACAATACAAAGTAAACAGTTTCAAATAACAACACAAAGTATACAATTTATGGAGGTGTGTGACAAATATACTTACTGTAGTTGCATGAATTAATAAAGGCAGTTTTTGTATTATTTTTGCACACTGTGTGATTATAAACATACAATAATTTTAATAAAGGAATTTCAATAAATACAGATGTTATTCTTTGAAAAATATACGTATTCTTTGCATGTGAAGCAAGATATTCTCTAAGTTTTTTATATAATATCCTTTAAATAAAAGTACAAATTTGTTGTGAAGACTTAACAATCGATTACATATATATTCCTAATACCGATAATAGAAAAAGTATAAGAACAATCTTTTTTAATTTAATATTAATGGTATGCTGTCCTATTTTATTTTTTAAATAAGAAAGAATAAATTATAAATAATAGGCCTGTTTTTTTCGGCTGAACTACTGCACGGTTCATCTTTCCTCTTTTTCTTTTCATGTTGGAGAGAAGAAGAGAAAAGATGAACCGTGCAAGAAGTTCAGCTGAAAAGAACAGGCCTAATAAAATAAATTTAAATTCTGAACTCAAACTGTATGATACTATCCAAGAATAGATAAACGACGTTTTTAAAATCAAGGATATGGATACGTGTTGTGATAAAAATCTTAGCCCTTTAAAAAGAGATTTGATTTAATATCATTTATTTTTGAGTTGTATCTGTTAGTCTTTGAGTTTTTATCTATTTGCAATTTTATGTATTATAATAGGCATGACGAGCAAATATTTTATGCATATTTTCTCGTGGTTGACATTGAGCGGCTAACAAAGATAAGAAACTGGAAAACTAATAATCTTTAAAAACTTTAAATAGTAAAAGTTAAATACTTTTAAGTACAATAATAAAATTATGAAATTGGTATAATTGATGGTAAAAGAGATAAAAGGAGATGATTCTGAAACTTGACGTGCTGTATATAATTAATCAATCAGCAGAGTTATATGATGTTAGTATATATAAATGTTTCATAAATATTAATATTAATATATATAATATAACACTTACATTTTTTCTGCAATATTATTATTATTGTTGACACTCTCAGAATAAGGAATAATAAAAAGACACATGATGTCTGGTGTTGCCCGCACCGAATATCGTGTAGAAATGAGGAATGTGAAAAGTCTGATCTGCGTCGAGACTTAATGCAATTAGTTTACCCCAGTCTAGACACCCTATCCAATTAGATCTGAAAAATGGGAGCAGTGGGCGATACTCTATTTTGCCATATTAGAAAAACTTTCACTTTGATTTTACCAGCCGTTCCTTGTCAGATTGTATCCACAATTCGGGCTTGAAGACGGATAATGCAGTGGTTTGTGTTGCTTCTATTTGTACAGTGCATAATGTGGAGCGCGTCTGAGGAATCATCAGGCGCGATGGAAGGCGGCCCTCCTGAGGCTGTGGTACACACGAAGGAGACCTGCGAGCAGAATAAAAATCAATTAGAATCCCTCAAGGAAATTATGATGAGGAATCAACAAAGTTTAAAGAGAAAAGAGGAGGAGGTTCAGGTAATATAAATTATTATTAGCAATTAAAATCTTTTACAAGCCTCATCTTTTGAAACATATACGCTCATGCAATGTCAACTAAGAGACTGTTTCTCATTTAATATTTACACATCTTTTAATTATTAGTGAATAAAAATTGTTTAATTGTTTAAAATTGAAATTTTAGGAAATCTTAAGAATATAAATAAATGATTACATTTAAGGAAATTTACCAGAAATTTGATTTAAAAATTAATAGTTGAATAATATCAAATGGTATAACCTTGTTTAATAGTTACTCTAGGAAAGAGAAAAGTACGATATTAAAATTTATATTGTTTTGTATTATTGCAAAAATAATGTATTTTACTAATTTGTTTATGTTATCTAGGAATATGCACGAAGATTGTCAAAGATCAAATCCAGAGCCAAGTTATCACGTCGTAGTAAAGAAGGAGCTTCGTCATCTAAAGACACAATGCATTCACATAAGACTGAATCTGCGGCACAGGATGTAACAGATGATGCAATTGATGACATTAGTCAAGCAAAAACCCCAAAAGCAAAGTCTTCTTTACTTCAACGAAAATTGGCGGAAAATAGGAAAGTGTTCGAGCAACGTAGCAAAGAATTGACAGAAACGAAACGAGCAGTGGAGGAGAAAGTGGAAGCTATCAGGCAACAATTGGACGAAACTGATTTAGCAGCAGCAGAACACAAGGATCAACTGGCTATCACACCAATTAGGCCTCTTGTCGTCACTTCGGATGTGAGTTCTACATCAGTTCTATTATAACATAATTTTCTTTAAATAACTTTCCGTATTATCTTTAATAAATATAATGAAAAGAATAATATTGATTATATTGGTAATTTATTCTCAAAATTTTGCAATAGCGCGATAAAATTTATGTTTTGATTTTCTAATTTAAGGTGATGGCGCCAATTCAAATTCAAAACATTCAAGAAAAGGAAAAAAAGATCACGGAATTAAATAGCAAAATCGTTGAGCTGGAGGCTACTATCCTGGATCTTCAAGAAAATTTAAACGAGAAGGATTCTGTTATTGAATCCAAAACGAAAGCGGTTACTCTTATGTCCGCAGACCTCTCCAAGAAGGGTAAAACGACATTGGACACCCTCGAAGATACGAAAGACGAAATGCGAACGATGCAAGAAAATTTTATCTTGATCGAAATGTCTCTGAAAAATAAAAATGCCAGTCTATTGGAACAGCTACAGGAACGAGATAACAGGATATCAGAATTGGAGCACACAGTCAATAGGTAATATATTTTTTGGTAATGTATTATATATTTCTATTGTGTAATGAAACTAAGCAACACTTATCTTAAACTAATAAAAAACAGACCTTGATATTCGAATAATGAATGACAAAATATTTTCATATTTAAAATTGCAAAGAGAATATTATTTAATTTTTGTCAGTTAATATAATTTATAATGTGACTACTAAAAGTATTTTAAATGTTGATATTACATGTAACATCGTATAATATTTGTTTTTTATATGGAATAACATTTCAATAAGATTTCAAATTTTCCTAATTATTTATTCTTTTTAGATTTGAAGAGCAACTCAAAGAACAGAAAATGGCTGAATCAGCAAGTGCGGATTTCTCGCGTTCCACTATGGACACTTTAGCAGAAACTAAAGACGCGATGAAATCAATGCAGGAAAATTTTGTTCTCGTCGAATCATCATTGAAGTTGAAGAACGACAATCTTCTTCAACAGTTGGAAGAGTACGAAACAAAATTGGCAGAAGCCAAAGAGAGAATATTTCAATTAGAGTCTGGTGCCGGTATAGTGACAACTCCCGCAGTCGAAGATTTACAATTTAGAATAGAGAAGTTGGAGCAAAATAATCGACAGCTTCTAGATGAGAAATATGAATTACAAAAAAATATTGCCGAATTGCAGAATAAGGTTATTGACAGTAAATCAGTTCATAGTAATGATGCAATCGTCGAGAAAGACAATAGAATAGCAGAACTCGAAAATTTGATAGAGGAACTTAAACAATCAAATAAATTGCTAGAAGAAGAGTCGAAGACTGAGCTGCAGAAGCAAGTAGCTGAATTGTCGTCCAAGAACGAAGAGCATTCCGCCAAGATTACCGATCTTGAGAAGCAAGTGCATGAACTCGAAGCGGAGAAAAACGATATTGCAGCGAGATTGTCAGCTGAGCAAGCGGTACCTAAAGAAGATGTGGTAATAAAATTGACGAAGGAATTGGAAGATTTAAATAAAAATATGATCAAATTAAAAGTCCAACACAGAAGTAAAGTAAAAAATTTACAGAAGCAACTGGAAAACTTCAAAATGGTGAGAACTTTTTAAAATACTGTTTAAAATTTCTTTTAGACTTTAATATTCAAAATATATAAATTCTCATCTACTTTAATTTCTGCGGAATAACTTTGCTGGATATTTAATTGCATACGTAATTAATCAATGTTACTTGTGGGCATCAAATATCAATCAATCAGGATAACTATTTTTTGTGTCTATGAATTTAAAGTAATGTGTATGTTCTATTAGGTATCCGATACGAATGCAGAACTCGTTAGATTGGGCAATCAAGTGGCATTATTGGAGGAGGAGAAAGGTAACCTTCAGCTGAGTCTGGTAGACTTTGACGAGCTTAAAGGTAGGAACCAGGACAAACGTTTTATCGCCGACGTTTCCGTTGTCCTAGTTATATTATCGGATTTTTAATGCGATCTGTGTTAATATTTTTTATCGAGACAGCCTGTTTTCCAGCCCTGTTTCCTCTATGAATCAGAAGTATTCGTCCTAATCATTGTAATTATGTGTATATATTTTTTATAATAAAACACAAAGATCTAAATACTGTAATAATATAAATAGACTGCAATAATAATTGATAATTTTACAAATATAGAATACAGTCAATAAAATATCAATTGCGTGATTTTTGTTTACGAGTACTTAAAAGAAAATGGAAAACACAATATTTCTCAATGTTTTCTGGTGATGGAATCTCTTCACTTGTTTTGTATGCTTCAGTTATCGAAAACATTTACGAGGAATACTAATCAATGATATCTGAAATATTTCTTGATAATCGAACATAACATGGTACCTACTTTACTTGTCAAAGTTTGCTGCGCACTTATTCATAGAAATAGATTTATATTCTTAGTATTTTATCCACATACGTTTTCTCATTTTACACGGAATAAATGATTAATTGCATGAATTGCAATAACAATATTTTGAATTTTTTGCAACACTCTTATTTGCTATTGCTATTATTATACGCTTTTATTAAAATGGACGATGATTGAAAGTACTTTGTACGTATGATTAATTTTTTATCAGTATACACGACTTGATTGGTGTGTATGATGCTAACAGTTGAATATATATTTTGAAATTGAATGAAATATATAATTTCTCGCGCTTTTCTGACGCTTCGAATGGAGATACAGAGAGAAAAAAATATTTTATTCTAAATATTAAAAAATGTTCCAAAAGTAATACATACTATCGGTAGATTTATGTTTTCGACTAAAAATATAAGGGATGATAAGGAAATATAAGGAAGATGTTGATATATATGACTATTTAATATTGTCATATACATATGTGTAAAAAATATTAAGTTTTTAATCTATATTCGATATTTGAGATTCCTATGAATAATATGGCTAATTATTGAAGAACAAGTTATATTATGTATTGCTTTAAAAATAAGAATCTGCCGATGATTTATGATCTTTTGGAACAAACATGTATGATTATCAATTGCATAAAAAGGGATTTTGTCACAAACTTTGCTGTAACTAGCAGCATTTAATAATTGCTTGTTCTAAGCTTACTATGAATGAAAATAAAATTGCACGTACGTTATTGGCAAATTATACGATCTGCACAGCCTCAGCAGGAGATTGGCAGGAACGTGTTGCTGACCTGGAAAGTAAGGTTTCATCTCAGACAAAAGAGATACAGATGCATATTGATGCAATCGCCATCTTAGAGAACCAAAAGTTAGATTTAACGCAAGGTAATTTGTTACATTGAATAGCCTATGCAGAATAAGATGGGTGCTTTTTATTTAGCGACTGAAGTCGACACAAGCGTTATCCTTTTTCAACATCTAGTGAACAACAGATACAGTGACACTTGTGTCGACTTGTGTTGTTAAGTGGAAAACACCTGATGTGTTTGTGTGTTGATGGTTTAAAGTTTAAATAATTTTTTAAATATGAAATTGTGTTATACATTCTAATAGAACTATAAATCACGAGTTATTTCTGCTTTTCTTAATTACTGCGTGTAATTACAGTGTTAATAACTGTACTTCTAATTCTTTATGTACATATATTGTGATGTTATTGAATATTAAAAATCAGCACGTTTTTATAATTTGATAGAACAAATTTGTAAAGCTTGCTTATCCTCTTTCAGAACTGCACACGGTGAAGCAGGAGATTTTAGCTTTAGAAGCTGAAAACGCGGAATCGGAGAATCTTAGAGTGACCGCAGAGATGAAGGTTGTTGAGCTAGAGGAGCAATTGGAAACGGCACACAAAGAACAGAATCAGAATAAACTCGAGATCGAACATCAGGAGCTTCTAAAAAAGCTCGATGCTTTAACGCAGGAAAATTCAGAATTATACAGCAAGTTAAACAAAATGGAGGAGAAGGGTGCTTCGGATACTGGTTCGACGGAATCTTTTGAAGCCATTCAAATGAATGATAGAAACGATTTGTTGAAAAAAATGGAGGATTTAGAGCAGAAAAATAATGAATTAACACTCAAGTTATCGAAATTGGAGGAGAAGGATGGCTCACACGCTGGTTCTACAGAATCTTTCGAAACTATAAATGATACAGATCGTAGCGAATTGATGAAGAAGATTGAGCAATTGACGCAGGAGAACAGCGATTTAACCATGAAGTTGAGTAGGATCGAAGAGAAGGGATCGTCCGACACGGGTTCTACGGAATCCTTCGAGCGTATCCCGGAGCACAATGATAGCCCGACAAAAATCGAACTGCTTACTCAAGAAAATAGCGAACTTGTTATCAAACTAACGAAACTGGAAGAGCGATTGAACCAAATAGAAAGCAGCGCTCAATTGGACGTCTCTAAGCTTGATCATAGTTTAGGGATACTTAAAGATGATAGTAGCTTGCGATTACAGATTGAGACGCTCACCCAAGGAAATGATAATTTGACGGGAGAGATTTCTCAATATAAATCGCAGATAGAATATCTCGTGGAGGAAAACAACAGATTACAAGATCGTATAGAAGTGTTAACTGCGGAAAATACTGAGTTGGTTATAAATCGCACGAAATTGGAGGAACGTCTTCAAGTCGAGACGTCTCGTACTTCTCAAATGTCAATTCAAATGATAGAATCTGCTGATCAAATTAATGCCTTAATAGAGAGGCAACATATTCTTGAAAAAGAGTTGGCACAATTGCGAAAAACTTCGATTGAACATTCGGTTAACGTAACATCATGCGAGACTGATGATGCAAAATCTAAACTCGCGACATTGGAGAAAGAAAATGCGCAGATGACAATGACAATTGCACAGCTCGAAGAGCGTATCAATAGCCAAAGAGAAGACCTAATTAAAATTACTAGAGAGAAAGAAGAGCTGGATCTAAAGCTGGAACACATGACCTCCGATGATTCTTTCAAAGAAAGGTTGGAGCTCATTGACAAGTTAGAGAAATTGAATCAAGAGAAGGAGAACGTTGCTCACGAGAGACAGGAGTTGCACGAGCAAATTAGCATTCTCTTACAGAAATCGTCCGATGAAATTTCAGAGAGGCGAAAGGCGGAGGAGGTTGCTTGTCAGGAATCGCAAACTGTAATTATAGCATCCTTAGAAAAGGAATTGGAGAACAGTAAGGTATTAATTGCGGAGTACAAAAATCAGATAGAGGAGGTGAACATGAAACTGGAAAGTATGGAGGCAGAATTGCAGAAGAAAACTAAACAGTTACTAGAGTACGAAGCATCGGGCGCAAAACTGGAGAGTCTGGAACGTGAATTAAAAGACATGTTTGTTACCGCAGAAGAATGGAAATTCAAGTATGATGACATGCAGGAAAAGATGCAAGCGTTGGAGCAAGCGAAAGCGTCGATAGAAGAAGCTTTTAAGACATTGGAGAATGGCAACAAAGAACTGTTAGAAGTGATAAAAGAGAAAGATGCGGCGACTGATACTTTACAGGAGCATCTTCAAGATACTATAGGCTCCCTTGAAACGAGATTACAAGATGAAATGACGAATGTAACGGCGAAAGAACATGAAATTACGGATTTGAAAGCCGAAATTGAAAAGAGAGATCAAGAATTGCACACCAAATATGCGCAGTTGCAAAATGGAATGATTACTATAGATGGTTTGCAGGATGAATTGAATAATTATTCGATTAAGCTTAAGGAAAACGAGGCTGCTTTATCGTCGTCATTAGGAGAGATTGAGAGACTCAATGATACAATAAAGGAGAAAGAAGAGGAAGTTTATGCTTTACAAGATAATATTAGCAAAATTACTGAAGCGTTAGAGCGATCTAAGCCTATAGCAGAATTTAAGGAAATGGTAGAGGATTTGCGAGATAAAGAAACAAGTTACATTGAATTACAGAATAAATATGAAGAAGCCTTAAAAGAAAACAATGAGTTATTGCAAAAAATTGAGGATATGTCGAAGCGTGACGAGAACGTTAAAAATGAATTAATTAAGAAAGAACAGGAGATCGATGGTTTGCTTACAGCTAAGGAGGATTTGGACGCACAAATTGAAAAAGTTAAAAGCGATAAGGCTAAAGCTGAAAACCAAATGTGGGAACTGCAAGCGATTTTGGATGATCAAACTACATACGCTGAGAAAGTGCAATCGGAGTTGACAAACGAATACAAGCAAGTAGAACGGCTTAAAACTAAGCATATGGAGGATATAGCGATGCTGAATCGAAGATTAGAAGACGTTATCGAGGAATTAGTCGAAAAAACGCAGGAAAACGACGCTATGAAAGCTGAGTTAGAACAGAAGGAGTTGCTCGGTAAAAATGTCACAGAAGAGACGAAGACCATCTTGGAGAGCAAAGTCGCAGACTTGGAACAGAAACTTTTAGAATCAGAGACTAAGCTGCAGACGCAGTCCGAAAAGATGAAGAAGATTGTGGCGACGTTTAACAAAAAGAAGATAGCGTGTCAAGAACTTGAAGCGCGTGTCGCTGAATTGGAGGAGAAATGGACGACGGAGAAAGATGAGAAGGAAGTTAAAAACAAGCAGATACAAGAGGTAGAGATTTCCATGCGGGAAAAGGACAACAAGATCCATGATTTGGAAGAGAAGTTGCTGCAGGCAAAGAATAACACTGCCGAGATTCTTGCAAATTCAGAGAAATTTGAGAAGGAATCGATCAGTTTGAAAGAGAAAATGACGGTGTTAATGGAGCACGTTGCGGAGATGGACGAGGAGATCGAAAAGCAGCGTGCGGAGATAGAACGCATCTCTCTCGAGGTGATGACGGAGAAAACAGCGAAGGAGAACATTGCCAAGGAGTATGAGTTTTACAAACAAACTGCGAGCCAGGAGGACGAACAGAAACAGACAATTCTGGACGAGGTGAAGGAGCAAGCGCGAGAATTGAGCGTGCGCATGCAAGTAATGGAAACTGAATATGTGGAACAGCTTGCCACAATAAAGAACCTGAAGGCGGAGAATGGCCTCTTGTTGTCCAAACAAACGCAGATCGACGAGAAATTGGAAAATGCTGAGAAAAAATCAGAAGAGCGTCGTGTATTAATTGAACAGTTGCAGAAAGAGATTGCTACCATGGCGTCTATGGCGGTAACTGCACAGATTCCGGAGCAGAGTGAACTGAGAGAAGATGACACGCAGATCACGCAGCATTGCGATCATTCCGAACAATGTCAGAATTTGGTGCAAGCGTTAGAAGCGCGTTTACAAGAACGCCAGGCGGAAATTGAAAATCTGAACAATGAATTGGCCAATTCGTACGGCAATATTGTGTTACTTCACGATGAGTCTCAGAGGTACAACGATATGATGATGCAAACTGCTCAGGAGCGCTTCAATCAGTCACTTATGGACCAAACGAATACATTGCAACAGGAGATACATTCTTTGAAAACAGAAAAAGCTGTGAGCGATCGGAGAGTGTCGGAATTAGAGGCTGAGTTGAACGAGTACAAAAATAAGAACGCGGAATGCAAAGTTGAAATTCCTGAAGAAGTCGAAACTCCTATTACCGAAGATCAGCAACAGCAGAGGCAGGATGATGCTTCACAATTGCTCGATTCTCGAGCGATACATCTCTTACTCAATAATATAGAAGAAGAGAAATTGCGTGTCCAAGAGTTACAGGATCAATTTGAAGATTCGCAAAGTAAATTGAAACAGACGGAGAATCTTCTTTCTGAAAAGAACGCACAGGTGGATTCATTGAATGCGGAATTAGATAATGTAATTCGTCAGATGAATGATTTGAAAATGTTACAGGAACAATATCCTACAGCTGACGTAGAGTCACAAAGATTACAGCCACTTGTGACCGACAAAAGCACGCAGATAGATTTACTGATTACCGAATTGAATACCGTAAATCAAGAAATGAGTTCGCAATTGCAGCAACATGCGGATGTAGAAGCCAGTCTGCGAACAGAAATCTCACTTAAGGACACAGAAATCGCTGCGATAAGATCAGAGCTGACTTCCATGAGAGAGACTGTAGAAGCATTAACAACGGCACGAGATCAGCAAATCGAATCGTACAAACTTCAGATTAATAATCTGGAAAGAGAAGCGAGGAATGCTAGTGACAATGATTTAATACAAGAATGGGAACAACGTATCTCTGCAACCACTGCAGAAAGAGACTTGCTACAATTGCAAGTGAACGACTTGATGCGATCCCTGGACGAATTGAGGGAATCCCTTGCGAGTTCTCAGCGTAATCTACAGATTGAATTAGAGAACGTTTTGCGGGAGAGAGATCAAGCGCAGATACTCATCGCAAATCTTACGCAAGCTTTGGACGATTCGAAACAGAATATCCAGGAATCGAAGACGCACGGAGACAGCTCGAAGGAGCCTACTTCCGTGGAAAAATCGATCGTTGGACAAGAATTAGAACAAATTCCTACGACTGTCGACGAATCAATTAGGCAACATGAACAATCGGCACAAACTTCTATCGAAAAGGAAGCACGGCAAGAGATTCAATTCGACATCGGTTCCGGTTGGGACAATAGTTCTGAAAACCTTAATATCGATGAAGAACCTTGGGGTTGGAATGCGGAGAACGTCCAATCGGCTGTCAGCAGTCAACATCTCAGCACGATGACATTGAGCGCTGAAATGCAATTACGTGCGAAAGTAGAAGATTTGCAAAATAGAGTCGAAGATCTAGAAGCGCAGAACGCTAGGATCGCCGAGGAGAACAAAGCGGCGCAAGTGAAGAGTGGTAAATTGGTAAAGAAATTGAAAGAGTACAAAGTGCAGATAGAGGGCTTGCAGCAACAATTGAAGATGCAGAAGCAGACTGACAGCTTTTTTGACTTGGATACGGCAATCGAGGAGGAGCTGAAGGCGCAAATCGCCAATTTGGAAAAAGCTCTTAATGAAATTAAGGAGGAAAAGAAGAATATCATTGCTGAGAAGGAGGTTTTACTGAAACGACTTGACGTGGTAGTATCGGCTAACGAGAGATATATGGAAATGAAAGAGAGACAGGACATGGAAGTTGAGGTATTGCGCATTCAGAATAAGGAACTAGGTAACAAGGTACAATCTTTAGAATGGCGGTTACAGGAAAATGCGACTGGTATAGAAGATATTACCTCTTCGCAGCGTGAAGATCAAAGTGATCCGGCATTTTATGAAATCGATAAATCTATCGCACATAGTCAGCCCCAGAAAAGATCAGTGGAACCTAGTGATGACTTTGAACTGATATCGAAAAAATACAAAGAGGAAATAGACGATTTGAAGGATGAGTTAGAAGCGCTTGCTGTTGAAAACGAGCAACTGCAGCACATTTTAGAAGAACGAAAAACGACGATAAATGAGCCAAAATATAACAATGATGAGCTTATGGAGAAATTAGACTCTTTGAACAACCAAAATGCGCAGCTTCAGAGCACTTTAAATAAAAGTAAGGAAGAATATGATGTTCTCAGGAGACAATATGAGCAAAGTCTAATAGACGCGAATGATCAAGTGACAGCAATGCGGCAGAACAGCGATTTCCTCAAGACTGAATTTGCGGAGAAGGTAGGAAGATTAGAAACGGAGGTAGACCAGCTACAGAGAGCTTTGGAAGAGAAAAAAGTTCTAGAAGACAACGCTCTGATCAGCTCGGAGGAAAAGCGTTCGGCCGTCAATATATCTCTGATGGAAGTTACGGAGCTGCTTAACGCCAGAGTCCAAGAAGTCGCCGATTTGAAGCAAGAGCTTCAAGCTCAATACGTGGGAAGACAGCAAGCTGAAGCGGCGTTACAATTGGAAATACAAAACTTGACTAAAGAGCTAGACGAGAGGAAACAAGATCTAGAAACTTTGAAGCAAGCGTTCAGCGACAAGGAGCACGAGCTGGCACAGCAAAGGAGTGTGGAGACCGTAAATACTATCGTTAGTGAGGCTACTCAAGAATTGGTCCAGAAGCACGCGATTGAGATCGAAGGAAAGGATAAGGAATTACGTGATTTAACGGAGAAGCTGACCGTATTGCAATCGGCGGTCGATGAATACACCTTGAAGCTGCGAGATTGCGCGACTAAATTGGAGACGCAACAGCAACAAATTGCATATTTGAAGGAGGATTTAACAGAGCGAAATTCAATAATAGGAACCACTCAAAGCGATATGAATTTAATGAACGAAAAATTGCGAGAAAAACAACAGGAATTGATACAATACGAGGAAGAGAAGACAAATCTCGCGGCAGAGGTGGATAGATGCTTAACGGATATCCAACGTTTGCAGAATCGACTGAACGCCACGGAAGCAACTACGGAGGTTGACCTGCAAGAATGCAGGTCACGTATTCACGGCTTGGAGCAAGAAGTTCAAGCTCTAAAGTCGGACAGAGAATCGATCTTACTGCAATACGATCAGGAGACGGAAATGTATCAGGCTCAACTGGAAAGTAACAAGGAGCAAATTAATGCTTTGAAACATGATTTGCGAGAAAAAACCGAACAATTGCATTACGTGAGCACGCAATTATGCGCTAAGGAGAACGATTTGGAAAGAATCAAGGCCATGATGAACGATAAGGATTCCTTATTGGAGATCACGAATCGGGAACTGAATGAAAAACGAGCCGAACTGGAGAGATTGCGTAACGAGCAGAATTCCCAGGTAATCGACGATTTTTCGATCTCCAGAATGAGCCGTGACGACGACGCGGAGCTGCAAAGCACTATAAACGAACTGAGGGCGCAGATGGAGGCTAAGCAGCAAGAACTGGAGCACCTGAAATACGTTTTGAGCGAGAACACTTATCCTACGATCATCCAGCAGATGCAAGATAGAATCAATTGTCTGTATAATGAGAAAGCTACGCTGGAGGGTTCCTTGCAGGCAACTACAGAAAGCTTGACGGAGAAACAGCAGCAGGTAAATCTTTTGACGCAACGCGTCAACGAGCAAAATCAGGAGCACGTTTCTAAGGAGGAAGCTAGTTTGCTGTCTAGAGACCGAAGATCTGTGCACGATCAGGAGGAGATCGTTAGATTGCAGAACGAATTGCACGCGCGGCAACAAGAGATTAACGAATTGAAGTACGTTATAGCCGAGAAGGACTCGCAATTGTGTCTCCAGGCCAGTATGGAGCCGCAATCGGACGACTTCGAGCTGCGTGAGACCGTGCAGAGATTGATGGGAGAATTGTACGGCAAGGAGCAAGAAGTACAGACGTTAAAGTCGACTATCGCGGAGCTGCAAGAGCAGATTCTGCTTCTTAAAGATCACGAGAGGCTCTCTAAAGAGAGCAGAAACGCGATCGAGAGGCTGACTTCGGAAAAGGAGCAAATCCGTATCGATGCTGAAGAATTTCTGAACAGGGAACTGCAAAGGAAAGAATCGGAGATCGATGAGATAAAGCAACAATTATCGGAGGAGAATCAGAAGTTACTGGCGGAGCTTCGATTGAAGGACAGCGATATCGAGAATCTGAAAGCGCAATTCGAACAATTATGGACGACTGCGAATGATCGGGGCAGTAAGTTGCAACAGAAAGAAAACGAATTAATGCACACGATCGACGATCTGGCGGAGAAGGAGAGAAGACTGGCCGAGCTGAGCATCACCAAAGACACCGAACTTTATAACTTGAAAGTGCAGATCGGTGAAAAAGAGGCGCGTATAGACGAACTCTTGGCATTGTCCGCGGAAGAGGAGAAACAATTGAACGAGTTGAGACAAACGTTGGAGACTAGTGAGACAGAGGTGAACAGGCTGAAGGAATTGCTGGTGCAAAAGGTTTCGGAACACGACTTGATACAGCACGCCTTGAAGAGAGACATGCCCGTTGCCGAAGTCGCACCGTCGATGAGCTCGGAAACCGTTCAAACGGTCGACAATAGGGAGACCGTTTCCAGCGAGTTGGATCTCGCGCTGTATATGCTTCATCAAAGAGATGTCCGATGCGAGGAGCTGACTCACGAACTGATGCAGCTGCTTGAGGAGCGCGATACGTTACAATTGCGATTATCGAACGCGATCCGGGTGAATGAAGAACTCAGGAGAGTGGGTAGCGCCGAAGCAAGCCCAATGAAAGACTCATCGTCGACCTCTCATGCGATAACAGAACCTGTCGTGGAACAACCTTCGCCTTCAAGGTCCGAGGGACCAGTCGAGATCGCGAAAGAAGCTATCGACACTCCGATCGAGGACAAAGAAGCTCTTGCTCTGAAGTAAGTGAAACTTGTTTTTGTAATCACAAAGTTGTAGATTTACTACCTCTAGATCGACGTAGTCTTATATAGGTAAATTACGAAAAAATTTTGATGTATATGTTTTTTTTTTAATCACTAAACATAATCCCGAATTCGATTTGTCTAATATAAAAAAAGTAATATTTAACGCTGTCGTAGATTGAGAATTCTATATGGTCACACTTATAAATGTTAAATGTGCGATACGAATATTTTTAGTATGTAGTGTATTTGAAGAAATTTGACGAAGCTTGCACGGAGTAGATGGTTTTTTTTTCATGATCAAAAGTCGAAGCTTTTTGCCAAACTAATCAACCTTTTCTTCGTCCTAGTCGCTGATATTACTCGTCCACTGGCGCGAATGACGACGGAGCTCTAATTAAGATCATTACGCACTCGTAGTCTAGTCGGGAGTTTCATTATTTTGTCGGCCAATAAAAATTGAAGCGCTTCTTCATAGGTTGTCCATTTAAATATCCTGTAAAGCTCAATGTTGAAGAACGAAAAGTACTTTCGTTCTTTCAACACAATGTCCCACAATGCGCCTCGCTCTTCGCACTTTGTAAATCGCTTGCAGCTTAATATAAGCTAGTTCTCCCTTTAGATTGTCGCAGTTACATTCAGTCAGCCATGCAAAGGATGTACGATTGAAGGACGAACGAGAATTAAGGCATACGCAACAAATGTCATTATTAGCGCACAGAGACGTTTTAAACACGTTACCGCCCGAAGCAGCTGCAAGACTCGTCAACGCTAATTATACGCTCTGTAGGTATCATTTGATTAGTAGTGGAATATAATCAATAAATATAATTTAACACATTCAAAATTGCGTATCGACGATATTTTGATTAATAGTAGAATAATCAATAAATATGACTCAACACATTCAAAATTGCTATTCTGACGATATGAATTGATGTTCACAGCTCGAGATGTTCAGAGCCAATCGAGCGTTCTCTTGAATTGGTTGTGGGGCAAGAGGTAAATTAAATTGTTTTCTATTTTACAGTTCAATATTATAACAATATAGCTCATTAATTTTATAGAACCTTAATCGTAATTGGTGACTCTAATTTTGTAGACTTGTTATATTTTCTCACTTTATAGAATTTTAATTTCATGTTATTGATGGTTTTATGATTTTAGAAATACAAATAATTAATTGTCTAGAAATTTATTTTTTACACATTCCTATATTTTTAGTCTTTCTATTTTTAATTCCATTGATTATATATTCATTGTTTTGTAAATTCTTTGTTTTCTGAATCTTTCAATCTTATATAACAGTCAATAGAGTAATGAAAATATTAAAAATTATTATGCGATATATTATTTTAGCACGCCAAGGGTGGTGCACATGTGATGAATGAATAGCGGGAATGAAACGGCCATCGCTTTTGCCTTCTGGAGACATTCCTGCCAAGTGCCAACTGCCAAGACTTATTCATGCAGTTAACTAATATTGGAACGACCTGTCGTATTTTTCAGACATAAGTCACGTGCTGACACGGTTATAAAGAATAGTTTTGTGAGAGTATTGTGAGCATGGAAGAATGTCAGAAACAGATATTTTTGAAACTACACATACACATGTACAGAATGTAACTAGCGTATTTTCCCGGAAAAGTCGCTCTCTCCTCTTCGAAAAAGAAGAGAACATGAGGAGCAGACTTGTATGTATTATAACGTTGTACAGCAGATACGCATGAAACTTAAGGTAAAATCTGAAATATTAGATAATATTTTGCCTTTTTTATTCGGTGACTAAATTATTTATAATAAAGCATATGCAATGAAACATATACCACAGGATGTTGGAGTTCGATCATTGTGTTATTGAATATAAACATGTCTATTGAAAAGTTGCCGTCTTATTTTTTGTTAGTTTATTAATTTAATAATATATATTTTGTAAATTATCCATGATTGTCTTCCGGCTTGATACAGTTTATAATACCATATTATTGTTAATTATACATCGAAGAAAAGCCGTTCAAGACAAATCACAGATAATGCAGAAGTAATTCGTGATAATTGTAAATTGTTCAATCGTTCTATTTCCATAAAATTTTGTACAAAGGAAGGGAAGCTTCAATAAATAAATGAAATTAACAGAAGAATGCTTAATTGTATTATGAATTGTGATACAAAGCAACTGTAAAATGCTGTGTTTTATAATATTCTCTAAAATTACAATTTATATAAAATAGTTTGTGATGGAATTACAGATTAATTCCATCATAAGATAAGTATACATTTATAAAATGAAAGAAATAAATGTGTAGAAAAATTTTATTTTACTTAAATAAAGTAACACAAAATGATAAGGTAAACATGCAAAGTACCGAAAAAGTAAAGAAATATTTAATTCACGAAAAATTTTTATTATTAAACTTTAAGAAAGGATATCTAAAATAAAGGAATTATTTACTCAACTTAAATAAATATTGCTTTTAAATCAGACAAGTTGTTTGTGAAAATATTATATGAAATATTAAATCGGATTTTGTAGTAACTTACGATAATTTAAATGAGTAAATTTATAGCAAGTTACTATAGAAGTAATGCTTGCGTAAACGTAGTAATAGAGTTGTTTGTTTTAATTGAATAAGTAAAAGTACTCTATTTTTTATAAAACTGACTAAAAAATTTTATTCGGAAATCATGCTGATATCAGAGAGAAAAAAAATGAAAACGCGCAAATTCTGCTCTTACAGAAAAGTTACAAGTCGATTGGCTATCGCATGGCTTTTAACCAATCAACTTGCAACGTTTCTGTAAGAACAGAATTTCCGCACGTTTCTCTTGCGAATGAAATTCAAGAAACGAGCCCACTACTAGGGGATCGGGAACCAACCAATTGAAGAAGAAGAATATCTATCTATATATACTATCTATGATTTCAGTCTTCAGTCTGCGCGTGACCGCACTATCGCTGGTGATTGCTCTGGTGACGCGTGCTTATGGGTTAATTAGAAAAGTCACTCATAATGCGAAACGTGAATTATGAGTCATCAACTGTGCGCAAGGCATTGAAACAGATGACGCACTGACACACTCTGGACACGCATTGTTTATAAATAAATCTTTCATTTAGCGATGGAAATCATCATATGCGAAACGGTAGTTAGTAACCTTCGCCACGCCGGCTGTCTCGTTTCTGAGTTGGCCAACGTGTGTATCGTAAAACGTGTTTTTTTGTAAAAAGCGGGGACGTGTGTCGTGTAATCGCTCAAGTGGTCGTGCGCGTTCAAAGTCGGAGGACCCCGGGACTCCGGACGGCGAAATAAGTGCTAACGAAACGACGCCGCGATGGTGAGCTGAGGTTGCACACGGGGCTCGAGGGGCAATGGCGAAAGTCGCGAGAGGGTCCGAGACGGTGCCCACAGTTTTATTATGCGAACATTGCACTAATCAGACGTTCAAGCAAGTTCCAGACTTCGTTAGGTGGGTCCATCTGCTTAACGTCGATCAGTCACGATACCTCGTTTTATTCAACAATTCATCTCAAGACAGCACTTTTTTAATAGTCTATCGCTTTGGAGATACATCCTCAAGTGACACAAGCATTTATATGCTCTCAACAATGATGTTAAATGCTTTAGAAAAACGATATTAGTAAAGCGCTTTAGAAGCGGCATGCTGTCTTAATAAGTATAGTTTATTATAAATATATGACGTGGTGTATTATTTTGCAATTTGTTTCAGGCACTTGAGAGATCAACATTGTTCCAGAGAAGGTGGATCTTTCGTATGCCTCTACGGTTATAATGGGGTATGCACCAGTCTTCCCGTGGAAGGTGTTTCTGACAAGGATTATATAGCCCACGCCACGAAGCACGCAGTTATGCAACAGCAGCGGAAGAGCAATGGCCAGTTATCGGAGGCGGGCTCGTCGTGGACCGTGTATTCCGCCGCGCAAAATCTACCTGCTGTCCTAAACGATCCGTTTAAAGGGAAACAGAGTAACTTTCTCACGCGCACTTGGGGAGATGGATTCGTGGAGAAAGTGGACATTCCGAAGAGTCCGTATCTTCCTGAGGTCACGATGCAGCATTTTGAAATGTATCTGAAAAAAATTGCGAGGGTAATTATTCGTGTAATATATCTAAATATATAACATTTCTTTAATAATAAATATTGTTCTTAATAATTTACAATACATTTACTATTCTAGCAATAGTCTGTATTTTATATTTGTTCTTCCAGAGATATCGGAAACATTCGCGTATGAATTTGAACGCCAGCAGGCCAACTACTCCGAATGAATTGCTTCAAAATTTCCCTAACCTTAAAAAAGTGAAATCATTGGGTAAGATTTTCTAATATTTATATTATAAATTATTAAAGGTACTGGAGAATACAATTTAGTAATAGGAATATATCTTAAAATAAATATAAAAGAAGAGCTTGCCTCTGCACAAAATAAGATTAAATTCTATTTCACGTGCGACATATTTTACTTTTTAAGGACAAATATTTTAATAATTAAATAATTAAAGAATTAATTATTTTTATATTATATATTTATTAATTTGGAATTTAATTAAATTTAATTAAAAAATCAGATTCATTACATATTTATACACAAGTTCAATTTGTTTTTAAATAATTTTATATTAAATTTTGATTGATATATAGTGTCAACTACGTAAACTTACAGCTGATTTTTTCAATTTGTTTTCAGTTACAAAAACAATATAATTTTTCGTTACTAAAAACTGTAACTGTTTTCTTTTGCTTCAGATCGGCTGCAGTTTGATTTAGCTAGCATTCCAAAGATCTTCTTAGTTCCAAACTTAGATCTTTCACAAAAAGATAACTTTGATGCTGTGTTTCCGTTTGCGAAAGATGGTCTCTTAACTGAAGATTGCAATATTGTTATGCACGTGAAGCAAATGCAAGAGAAGGTATGAATAAATATTATAAACGAAAGAAAAGCGCAAAAAAAGAATACACACGCGGAGGTTTACAAATCTTGCTACTCTGACATTGTATATCTTTCGATCTAAATATTTTTTCATATTATAAAATAAATAAAAATAATTGTATAATGCGTAAACGTAGGTAAAATTAAGGTTCCGAGGTTTTAATATTGGTTGCTAAGTTATACAAAATATGTTGCTACAGCTCAGTCACTACCTGGACGTTGTGGAAGTTCGAATAGCGGAGCAAGTCGCGTCGAAATCTCAAGCCTTTTTCCATGCAATGACATCTCACGATGTGCTTATGGAACAACTCACTCAAACTATTACGGTTTTAAAAGCACTTAGGAAAAATATTCATCAAGTCGATAACCATCTAGTCAAGGATTCTTTAGAAATTTTACGGTAAGTTTGTACATGACATACAAATCATTTATTTAAAAAGTACACTACACTAGTGCTTCTTATAGAAACGCGAATGTAATAACGATACGTGTATTTAAAAAATTAGCTTGAAATTTGCTCTTTCTGTTTAGGTTGGAACGTGCTAGGTCTAATAGATTATTAGTTCAAGAAAAATTGAAACTCATGGCAACTGTACATCAGAGTCAACCTATGATACAATTATTGTTGTCTACGCCAGATTATGTCGCGGCATTAGATCTTATTTCTACGACGCAAGAAATTCTCTTGCAGGAACTGAACGGAATACATAGCTTTAGGTAAATAGAAATTCTGAAGAAACTATTTTCATGATTTATTATTCGCTTTTAATTTTTATTTATTTATTATTTTTATTAATAAATATTGCAAACAGATAAATAGATTATTAAAACGTTCACAATTATTTATGTTTATATTACTTAGACATTTAAGTTCTCAACTAACCGAGATGGAGAAGCTTGTGGACAAGATGCTATCGACCGAGTTTCAAAGATACGCAACGGCGGATCTCAATAGACCGTTAGGTGACGAGAATACCGTCTTAGACGGCGTAAGTACGCAGACAATGTTGTATCGCATTGTATCCCTAGCCCGTAGCGAACGAACCTCCATACATCTCTTCCCAGTGAGATCATTTGTACGTCCTCAACAAACAGGATAAACTGGTCTCCATCATTTCTGGTCTACTACGTCAGAAACATTTCCAATTCGTGGACACGTACAAAGAGGAAGCCGTGACCACTATAAGAGCCTTAACGAAGCAACGGGTGATAGAGGCTCTGGCGGCGAGTGATTGTTGTAGCGATCAGCAAGCGGCAGCGCTCGAAGTTGGCGGTCTCTCCTTGACGGAAAGATTAACTTTGCTCCACAACACTATACAGTCTTTCACATTTCTTCTATTACGAGTTAAGGTATATAATATTTAATAATGCATTTTATATGTTTTTTTATATCTCATCTGCTTTATACTATTTATTATTATATTATACTACAGATTTAGTTTTTAATATTAAATATCTAGTAATTGAGCATTAAAATTAATACTAAAGCTTTTAAAATTAACTACAAATATAAAATCTTTTTTTTGTAATTAGGATTATTAATGTTTCGAGATTGTAATAATTGCTATTAATTTTTAAATTGTGCTTTGTGGAACACTTACAATTAGTAACAATATGGAGCATTTGATGTATACATAAAATAATTAAATACTCTTATTAGGCAGTTCATGATGTAATGAGAGACACCGCGGACTTATCAGCGGGACGTTTATGTGACGGCTCGTTTGACGAATCAGTACCTGATCGATTACTGACCCGAGAGGAGCATTCGCGAGTGATCACTAAACTCAGTGACATGATCACCTCTGTATGTGATTATTGCCACGAGCGAATGGGAAATCTACTTTCAGCTGGGACGAATGAAAAGGACAAATTCCACAACGATAAGGATAAGATAATTGGTGATGTTTCGCTGAATAAATTAGAAGACAAAGAATGTCAAACGTGGAACGATAAGAGCTCTTGGTTGAGCGAGAGAGCAACGGCCGCTCAAGTTTGCCAATTAGCCAATATGGTCGAAGAATTCACATACGCTTGCGAGAAACTTTGCGGCAAACAGTGTACCGCGTTACGATCGGCATTTAAGGTAATTGTCGTTTGTTCAAATTACATCTTTTAAAATTTATTTGTCCGTTGTCACAGATTGAATGACTCTTCTGTCAGTGTATAATTTATGATGTTTTTTATAGGCACAAGCAAGTAAATTTGTACAACGCTTTCATAATGAACGCAAAACTAAGTTGACATTACTATTGGAATCTGAAAGATGGAAACAAGCTGACGTACCATTAGAGTTCCAATCATTAGTAACATATGTGTATGAAAAAAAGTGTTTTCCGCTCAAGATATCCACATGCGCGGATGACATAAAGAATGAGAGCGTGGAAAATTTTATCATGGTTGGCGATGAAAAATTCGCCGTTGTTGGAACTGCTCTGATGCTTATGCAGATGATACACGAGTACTGCAGGTAAAGCCAGATTACAAAGCGTTGCTCTCGTAAGTCTTGCATAATATATGATTTCTTTTTAGGACTGGTAGTGAGTTAGTTGCCTTGTCTGGAACTATTGGGAGACAACTAGCCGAATTATTAAGACACTACAATTCTCGATGTTGTCAACTAGTTCTGGGTGCGGGCGCAATGCAAGTTGCGGGCTTAAAAACCATCACAAGTACGATCCTCGTATTGGCAGCGCGAAGTCTTAAACTCATATTGTGGTTTATGCCTTTTGTCAAGGCACACTTTCAAGGTAATTTAACATGCCGAATCCTTACGTTAAATATAATTTTAAAATACATAAAGTTTAACAACAAATGCAACGTTAAATGTGTAAAGATTTACTTAATATTTTATATATGTACTTGCTGTTCAGCACTCACGGAACAAAATCCAAGTCGAGGACTCATTGGCACATCTGGTATCAGTGGAGGTGTAGCTTTATTAGATAGTGTCGAAAGAGATATTCGTGCGCATGTTCGTGAAATTGAAGGAAAAATTCTCACTATCGTAGACAATTTGTTAGGCGCACAAATATCCAAATGGACAGCAAGACCTCCAGTGCCATCCAAATCTTTCAGAAATATCTCTAGGTAAGTGTTATGATACCGATTATGATTTCTAATATCCGTCTTTTAAAATCTCATTTTTATTTACAGTTATCTAATGAAGCTTCACGAAGCCGTCTCTGGAATTTTGCCTACTGTCGAAGTACAATCTCTTTACCGTACGGTAAATTCATCATTCAAGGAGAAACTTAGAGAGCAACTGGTTAAGATGAATATAGTGAACAATGGTGGTCCGCAACATGGCGTGGTTACGTCGGAACTTACATTTTATCTCGAAGCCTTAAGAAAATTAAAAGTTCTACCGAGCGAAGAGTTAAATGACAATTGGATGAGTGACATATGGACTAGATAACATGCAGAGCGAGTGATATACTGCATTATAGAAGCAATGAAATATTATAGAAAGAGGTGACTAGAGAAAAAATCTGTTCATTCGTCTTCCTTTGTATTACTCATTATATCCGAAATATGCAACTTATGATAACAATGTTCATCAATTATCTGATGGATTTCGCGAAAGAGATATTACTTGCATTGAATTTTGAACATTATGAGCTACTTTAAATAATTATTGATAAACTAGCAGATTTGTTGGCATAGTTTTGTTGGTTTGATGTAAGGAGAAACAGTAAGCAATTTGTTTTTACAAAATGGATATTCAGTATCAAAGAAAGAATTTGACAAACGCTAATCTCATAGCTCGTATTGACTTCGTATTGATTCAAACAACATTAATTTGTTTAATAAGTATTGTATGTTTAAAACTATAGTTTCGTAGATGAGTTAAGTAATCTATTATAATATGTTTACCTCCCTCCCAAGTACTTTTACTGACCATAGTGTTCAAACAAAATTGCTGTAGAGTGTGTATATATATATGTATAATATAGTATATATACACACACAAACTATCATAGATATATTCATAAGAATTTTGAGAGAATATTATTTCCCAGAATAAGTATAAACAAAAAATTGCAGAGAGAAACAGCATCTATTTATTTGTAATTTAACGTTACATTTTGCAGACATTTCGGTAACAGGACCAAACAATGGTGGTAGCTTATAAGTTGTTTGTATGATATTGTATTTACTGTGTGTGCAGTCGGTATTTTTGAAGTTATATGTTTCTTTATAATTCATTTTTTCATGCTAAAAGTTTCACATCAGTAATCAGATTTAACCAAATTGTACGGCATACGGTGTACATAAAAATTAAACTAAAAAATGTGACAAGTGTTTCAATTATCTATATATATCTATTATGCAATTCAATTGTGCATTATAATTAACTAAAAAGTAGCGATGTATGGTCCGCGCCTAAGAAAAATTTATAACAAAAATGTATGCGCTATTCGTCATTCATAAGTTCTGTAGGAAAAAAATGTTTAATGACACTAATATTTTTTTGTTATTTATAATAACATGCGACTCTTGTATAATTGATAGTTCGTTAATTATATATGGAAGACAATGTGTTTTCCTAATTGTGAAAAATTTTTTTCTACTATTTTAGACTACTATTTTAGAAACTATGCACTCGCATGTAATAATTTATAAAACGTTGAATCTTATCGCGGATTGTGTAAGATGCATTCCATTCCTGATTTTATCTAGTCCAAGTTGTACATAATGTATGCAACAAAGATACAAATAATAATTGATTTAATTTATAAATAAATTTGTGAACGCGCGTTATGCGTTATGATCCGGCGAAGACGTGTTAGCATATTATAAAACTCCGAAAACGTTTTTTATATCAAAAAGAAATCGACACTATGAATGAAAGTGTTCAGAGCTGATTATTACAAAGACATACTTGATAGATTTCTTTACCAAGGCTGATGATTTTCCGTTAGATCATCGCGCATATAATTAAAGCGTTACACAGAAGAGTGATTAATGTAGATATAAATTATTATATCTTGTACTATCGTGCATAATGTATTCTAAACGTTAACATACAAAATTAATAACACTGCAACTGGAAAAACAGTATAATATTATTTACATTTTACTTAAATATATGTCCTAAAATGCCTATCAAATTTTGTAATCCAAGATTGGATATTAATAGGAACTAATTATTTTTCGCGCTCATCTCAATACAGCTATATATCGAAAACAGACTGTGCTCTGTTGCACTACATTATATATGAAAAAGCATATTACGAACTTATACATATATCTATAGTAATTTACAAATTTATGTCAAACGGGAGTGGTCAGTGGTCTTCTCAAACGATCGCTTACCCTCGTTTCCATGGTAATGAAAAGTAAAACATATCCATAACCTGAAGAAACATGGAGTCGTGTGAATAGAACTACAGTCCTCAATATCATTCTTTATCTTGTTTTAAAAACAATGTCTGCAGAAAATCGGTGATTAATTTATATAGATATTAAAAATTGTTATAGTTTTATAAAAAAAAAAATATGTATTATTATAATATATTATTAAATAATTATAATCTCAAGCTATTAATGAGTAATATTTATAAAAATACTTTTTATCGTATTTAGTATTACTCATTTTGCAATGATTGCAATTGATAAATAAATGATTAAAAAAAAACTCTATCCGTATAATTATTATTTAATACAAATATAAAATTCAGTAACTTAGTAATTATATACCTTTTTTATTTACAATATTTATTCAATGATAGCTAACGTCACATGTTTTTAACATTATAAAACTAGCTACGATAGAATTAACTTTCTAGTGAGGAGTCTATGCGAGAAACTGCATTACGGCTCGCTGTAGAAGAAGAGAACAGACGAAAGACTGATCCAAATGAAACTCACGAACGATCCATTATTATCCTTGGCAGCAAGGGAGTTGTAAGTGATGAAATTAGGAGGTACTGCATTACCGTGACGTACTTTGCATTTTCAATTGCACTTCTAGGGTAAAACAACAATGGTGTATCGATTTCTTGAAAAAGACGAGAGACCAAAACCGACTATAGCGATGGATTATTCATTTGGCCGCAAAAGTGTGAAAAGTTTAGTAAGTGACATACATAGCAACTATATATTCATCTTTCTACGAGAATATATTCATAAACGATAGATTTTTGTTGCTTTACACTGAAGAATCAGAAACACATATTAGTTTTAAATTTTACATATAAGAGTGAAGTTAATTAGCATGTAAATAATAAATGTGATATAATTATAACGTTAATATTTTCATTAAATTTATCAAAATTTTCATTAATCTATTATTTTATTATTATATTTTGTCAATCTATATTCTTAAATTAAATTTCTAAATAGTATGCTGCTGCAGGTAAAAAATATAGTGCACGTGTGGGAAGTGGGTCACTTGGCTTCTTCTTTGGTATCTGTCGCAATGACGGGATCCACATTAACACATTCCCCTCACCACACCGTGTCATTAATAATGCTAGATTTATCGCGACCAGAGGAATTATGGTCGTCCTTTGAGGAGGCCCTTTCCGTAATACGAAATGGTTTGAAAATGAGTTACGATTCTGACACAATTGAAAAATTACGGGATAAAAGGGCAGCAGATAGAAAAAAGGCATTGGAACGTGGGGTCGACCCGTTTTTAATGAACTTATGCATCATAGGTGGACGATATGATGAATTTAAGGTATTTAATACATGTATAATTCATATATACATACATATTGCAAAGAGAGCGAAAGATGATGTATATTTCTTCTGCGTTGTAGTAAAGATAAAATTAACAAATGCTGCAGTGAATTGAATTTCAAGTTAATTATTGTGAAATCAGTAAAATTGTTAAAAGTTAAAATATTTTAACAAGTTAAGTTTTAAAAGTGTACAAGTTATTAACATTTATTTCTCAGCAAACTTTGAAAGACAATTCAATATTTCGATAAATAATAATTTTTATATTTTAAAGAATACATTTATTTCAGTTATTATCTATTTTTTTCTGTGTATTATCTTGTGTGTAATAGGAATTTGATTCGAGTAAAAAAGAATTCATTGGAAAAATACTGAGAGCGATAGCTCATAATCTAGGTGCAAGTCTTTATTACTATTCCTCTAAAGATAAATTTCTCATACGACGACTCAAAGATCTATTATCTCATTATGGATTTGGTTCTCCACTTACGTAAGTTCTTCGATGAAATTTCGCGCGTAACACGTACAATTTATATACAATATTAATATACATTTTAATGTTGATCAAGAGCTCGTTTATATCCTACAAATTATATATTTGCGATTAATTTTTCCGACACTCTGTCTTTATACCAAATGAAATGCAAAGGGAGGACAAGTGTACGGATTATGAGAAACCGTTAATGATGCCGGCGGGCATGGATTCCTTCGGACGGATCGATTTACAATTCCCCCAAACGAGACCATCGGCAATTTTAGACACTATCAAACAGATCTACGTCTCGCGTATACCGCAAGTGTCGAGGAACGATGAAAGCACTTTGGAGGATCCCAGTAACGACCCTAACTTTAACGAGCCTATTATCGATAGACTCAGAATGCAGCGGGAAGAGGTATATAATGTTTGCTCAATGGTCATTATCTTTGTTTAACAGTTAATAAATGTTGGCCTGTTTAGAAGATTAGTTAATTATAGGCGTTACGTAAGTAAACTAAATCGATTATTTTCTTGCAGGAGATCAGTGTGCTGTTGAATGATATGATGGAAGGCCGTATGCCGAAAATTCCTGTGCCCGATCCACTTTAGAAAGCACATCATATATTTTCTTTATGTATGTACCCATTGCGATATTGAAGCAGTAAACGAAAATAGATAATTTATCTGGCAATTTATATCGTATTCTACTTTAAGCTTATAATAATAAGCTAAATACAGAATTGCATCATAAATAATAAAGAATAATTATAAAGTTATAATAATAAAGAATTATAACAATAAAGAACTATTTTATGCATTAATTATTGATAATAGAATGTATTTTTTCTTAAAATTATAATACATAAAAAAATTGCGTTATTTTCTATATTGCGTTATTTTCTAGAATTGCATGATAAATAATAAAAATAATTATAATTATAATTATAAGTTATAATAATAAAGAATTATAACAATAAAGAACTATTTTATGCATTAATTATTGATAATGGAATGTATTTTTTCTTAAGATTATAATACATCAAAAAATTGCGTTATTTTCTATATTGCGCGTTATTTTCTAGAATTGCATCATAAATAATAAAGAATAATTATAAGTTATAATAATAAAGAATTATAACAATAAAAAGAACTATTTTATGCATTAATTTATTGATAATGGAATGCATTTTTCCTTAAGATTATAATACATCAAAAAATTGCGTTATTTTCTTCTACATTCTTACAATTAACATAAAGATAAGAAAAATAAACAGTCGTCGCTAGCTTTGTTTCTCGAGAGCAAGATAAATTGAAAGAAAAGACTTCTAATAATAATATTTTTTCCCTTAAAACGAGAAAAAAGAGAAATAATAAATATATAAAAATAAGATTAATAAAGTTTATTATTTTATTACCAAAGAGACGTTTTAAAAGCATTTATAAAAAGAGAAGTAGCTCGAGAAGTAATAACTTCTTTTAGATTTGAATTTTCACACACATTCTTGCAATTCTTTTATACAGGAATAAAAGAGAAGGTTACAGGACGTAGAAGAGAAACTGTGTGGGAAGAAATCCTCCATTTTAACTTATAATATTCCTCCAAAAAAAATTAACACGTTTTAGAAATCTTTCTTTCCTCCCCAAGATTCTCTATCTCTTTCTATTGCTCTTTCGGTTAAGATTAACTTCCATTCTTAATTCCGATCAAACATTATTCTCAAGAAATTCTCATATAATATAATTAATATTTTACAAACAACTCAGGGTACTCTAGAAATTTATTTCACTCCTGCCTCGCTCGCGCTCTCCTTTCATCGTAGTGCCCCTAAAACGGCTGAAACCCCCGTCTCTCTCTTTTCCCTCCCACGCACAACACATCGGCCAAGAGGGGGTGGTAGGGAGAAAACGTGCGCGCTCCGCACCCCCGCACCACCCCCCCGCGCCGACGTGACGCCGCTGCTGATAAGAGGCGCCGCAGCCGCGCCGCATTCGCGTGCGCGCCCGTCTCGCGAATGGAGGCGCATGCGTATATCCCGCTCCGGTCGCTCCCGATACGCGCGGGGGTATCCCGAGCATTTACGAAAACGGGGCTCCGGCTGGGGGGGGCTCTCTCGCCACACGGAGAGCTCTCCTCGTTTCTTTGCCGCCGTTTCCTCAGTGAAAATGCCGCCGCGATAGAGAGCCGCGCGTGCCGTGTGCTCTCCTCGAGCTCTCTGGTCGCGCCCCCTCCCCCCTCGCCAACCCGTGACGAGGAGAGTCCGGCTTGTTTTGTCGCGGGAGAGAAGCTCATCACTCGCGGGAGTGACCGACACCGCCAACCCGCTGTCCCGCGCGTTAATTATTACCACACGCGCTGATCAATCGCACGCGCGCGCGTGTCGCCCGCGATTTCGATCTCGTCTCTTTCTTCCCCCTCCTCCTCTTCTTCCCCCCGCGCTGTTTCTCATTTCCCACCGCTCTCTATTTTCTCACTTCCGTGCAATCGCCTTCTCGTTTCCTCTCCGCTCTCGGCCGTCTGCCCTTATCGTTCGCCCTCCTTCCGTCTTATCCCCCCCTCCCCCGTTTCTCACTGTTTAACGCGCGGCACGCACCGCGGGAGTACACGGTCGTCAGTGTTGTCACTGGTTTGACAGTCCGCGAGTGTCACTCGGGTCACGGACCGGATCGCTTTTCGCGCCCGCGGACTGTGTGTGGATGCCGCTTCCGGAGAACGGCGCACAGGTGTAGTCATCAGGTGAGTTGCGAGACATGTAGCAACTCCGAGAGCGACAGAGTGAAAGAGAGTGAAAGAGAGAGAGAGAAAGAGAGAAAGAGAGAGGTACCGACAGAAACCGGTCGCGCGATGATTCTCAGCGCTCTCGCGAAAATCGGTGCCAAATGCTGCGAATCGTGTGGAGAACGCGCTCGCGCGCGCGCCGTCGCGCGATTCACGTCACGCGACCCATTTACCTGCGACGTGCGTCGCGATCGTCGTCGTCGTGGCCTCCCCGCGACGCCGCTTGCGCCTTCCTCGCCGTTATCGATTCTGCTATTACGAACGCGCCCTCCGCGCGCGGATCGCCGTGCAGGTATCTCGCCGTCTCTTTTTCCGCCAGCGCGAATCTTGAATCGGCCAGCGTGCACGCGCGTGCACTGCTGCACGGCAGTTCGAATCCCGCCCGATCGATGACATCTCGGCTACGCACGCGTGCACGTGACATTTACGCAGCACGCTCCGGCCACGCGTGCGAGGTCCTTTACCGAGATTACGTACTCGGCCGACTGTACCATCGCATCCGAATAATAACGTCGACAAAATTCTGCAAGATGCACCCTGCGTGTTTTTCTTTCGCCTGACAAGAAAATCGCTGATAAAACGGAACAATTTGTTATTTTATCTTTTTGTGATTTTATCAGGAAATCGAAGCAGTAATCTTCCTTTTGAAATGTTGTCTAAATAGCCGTATTCATAGTCCGTCCTTGAGTAAGGATTCCTTGTTCCTCATTCTATCACTTTATAAATTTTAAGGAAGGAAATGTAGAATAACTAATAAGGAACAAGGAATCCTTATTCCTCAAGGAAGGACTATGAATACGGCTATATAAAACGACGTCATCTTCTTATTTGCGATTCCATTGCCGCAAGCTAATACTCTGGTAATGCTAATGGAACTTTAGCTCACGTAACTTTCTATATTACTTGTCCTTTTTTCTGAATTTCTGAATGTAAATATCTAATTTACTGCGTTTGTTTACATGTAAACGTCACTGGTCGAACAATGCCATTATCGTTCGAGCGTTGAATAGCGCTGCATGTCGCGTTCTTAATATTTAATCACCGATTATTGATCGTATCGCTCGATTGAGTACATACTGAGAATGTGTTCGCGTAAAAGAGAATCCTTTCATAAATTCAAGAATTTTCGATCTCTTTCCACTCTTCATACGAAGCTAAATTAATGATAAGTTTAATGATCGGTATGAAAGATACCATTTGACGACTTTTTGATGCGCATGGTTATCTGGTCATGCGAATACTCTCTCTTTGTTCATTTCCATTTAGTTAACTAGTACAGTAAAAATTGTTTCGAAAAGACCGTCTTTTGTTGCACTTTAATTGCAGCCTCAGTCGTCGCATTAATTATTGTATTATTAACTAGTTTCGCGATAGTGCATTCTGGTTCTCTTTTTCTTTCATCTTTTTTCGTTCTTTCCTCTCCTCGTTCTTTCTCTCTCTCTTTCTTTGCGATATAAAAAGATAACTGTTTCTTGAGCATCAGCGGATGCCTAAACGAACGTGCTAAGGTCGCTTAAGACCGGATATTGCGTGTCTGCTCTCGCAACGATTTTGGACGCTGAGAGCCAGGCAGGCACCTCTTTATGATCACGCAAGTTTCTGCTCTTTGTCACTCAAATGTTCCGTGCGTTTATGTTGAACATTTTTATTAATTATTTTGAACAATCTGTCTCGATCGATTCGAAGAACCGACAATTCCCATGTAGTCTTTCAAGAGAGACATACCGAGTAAGCAAGAGACTTGAAAAATGATAGTTTACATAAGGCAGTTGTACGTATCTCAATCGAAGCGAGGCAGAAACTTGCATAATGAAGCGTTAGTTTATTGTACTCGCTAGAAATGTGTACGTTAATATTACAAATCACTCAGATGTCGCATCGATATAAACTGGTTTAACTAATTCTGGGATGATCGTTTGCGACTTCTTTTACGGATAGCGGTTCTATATATGGAATGAAATGAAGTTAACTAAAATTAGCGCTAACGGACTGTCTGTCTCGGTAGAAGAATTTAGTTGGACGTAAAAATTAGATACGTTCGCGTTTCAGTCATATGTTTTACAGTCAAACATTTAGGAGCCTATTTTGTAAACGATAATTAACATCATTATCGTGCTTTGTACAGATATAATGTAGAAAAGCTGTGCGAATCACGATATCATTAACATTTCCAGAATAAACCCCTCAGTTACGTAATACATTAATACCTGATATATCAGATATTTTACTGTATTAAAAAATTTCACTTTACTGTCTCGCAATTTATTGTTCATAGAGGCGAAACATATACCAATGTAATTTGGAAAAAAAAACGATTTACTGTATATAATCACCATATCCCTAAATATTTATACTATTCGTATTCTCTCTCATACGTCATTGCGAAGCATATAACAAAGGTATGTATAGTTTTGTGCAGCTCGTAGAGGCCGAGGTCATCCTTAATGCCGCACTTTCCGCATAGTTCGTGGTTAACCTTTCCAACTCGATCGACTGATCTCGAGGGAAACGAGATTCGGGAGGAATTGTCGAATGGAATAGCAATCGTATCTCTTGCGCGACGGCTCACCAGTAGACGCGATCCTGTCTTTTGTTTTCTTTAGTCGATATCAGACTCCGTTTGCGGAATATTCCAAATCTTCACGGTGACGTGATTTCAACGGATATCTCTTCTCGGTCTTCTCTTCGTAATTTTCCTCCTCGCCATTTAGCGGTTAGCTCGTCGCATTTTTATTCAGTCGCGAAACTTTTCGTGATCTTGTCGACCTTGATCTCGCTGCGGGCGACTCGGCGTGTCGCCTGGTATACTTTTAATTCCTGTTTGAAAGCGCATCTCCCTCGCTCCTCCGAGACATCAGCTTCACTAAGCTGCACCTTTCAAGTCGAAATATTCCAGACTATTTCTTTGTTTTTGTCTCCGCACCTCTTTCCCACAAATTGTTCTTCATTCAACTAATATACCAGAATCATTGCTTAGG